TCAGTCGAAACGCCAAATCGAAATTTTTGTCGTCTACAAAGCAGGCTTTGCGCCTGTTGGCTGTCCAGGTACGGGCGCACCGGGAGCCATGAACTGTCAAAAGTTAGTAAGACGTCGCAAAGCGCTCATTGTAAAACAGCTTCACGTACCTCGTTTTGCGCCCTCTGTGCCTGCAACTCAGCCCTCTCCTGCTCAACAATCATCTGCTCCTCGCTGTACGCCAATGCCCATGGCACACCGAGCAGCAGCGCACTTGTGCTTACTACCCAAAGAGTCTTGCCGCCCATGTTCAGACCGCTCTTGAACCATGAAGTGATTGTGTTGGCTTTTGAGGAGACGGATCGGCGTGTGCTGGCGGGGATCATGTCTTGTAGGGCGATGATACGGTCGTAGAGGGTCTCGTCTGGTGTTACGGAGTGGATGGAGGATGTGTCTGACTCTGCAGAGGTACGTTTAGTATTTGAACATATTGGATTTGCTGCCCTCTATGCGCCAGACGCATCTAAGGAGCGGTTTGCGGTATCGTACCAGAGTCGGTGTCCCACTCATCGTCGTCATGCGGGCCTTCCTGCTCGCGCACAAACTCCTCATCCATGACCTCTTCGAGCTTGACCATTTTGGCGGTTGTTCGGGTGTGCGATTGGTGTGGTTAGGGTATAGGGCGTTAGCGACAGATGCACGTCGGAATAGGTTGGTGGTGTTGGGCCTCGAGCTGCTGGTGACGATGGTTGCCCTACTATCAAAAAGTTAGCACAATCTGTGATGACATAAGGGCCACTAGCGCCGCCGCACGTGCTTCGGGCAGACCTTGGAACATTACACCTGCAATTGCTCTCAACCACGCCTAAACTTCTTTCACGTATTCTCCGATCTTCCTCGTTTCATTCAGCATCGAAAATCTGGTCACTGTGTTCATTTGATGTATACAACTCGAGCGACAGGCATGACGAGGCTGAGGGCTTGAGAGCACCAACGCTACATTACCACAGGCACATCGCCGCTGGCTGTGGAATGATCAACCGTGTTTTGATAACCTCAAATCATGACGTTACCTTCCCACAATAAGCGTTTAAAATCGTCTTCAAATCGGTGAACAAAGCACAGGTACTGGCTACCGAGGACGCCTGTTGACCCTGGACCATGGATCCACGTAGATATTACCCCTCCGAGGGTCTTTTATTACCTATCGACTGACGTCCTACCAAAATTCTGTCGGAGGTTCAAAGCTACGTGTCTTTCCGTCGTCGTTGTCGCTCACGACAACGAAATCAGCATCTACAATGCCCACGCCAGACGCCCATCGCATGACAGCAAGGACGCCTACCATGCACGTCTCCTTATCCAGATTCTTGACAGAGTACAAGAACAACTGCTGGCCCCCAACAATGAAGCGCAGAAAGAAGGCCAATCAGCTCGCAGAGTCTATCGAGATTCGGAACGCCAGTACCTCTCAGATATACCGCTTGCCCCCTGAACTCGTACTCGATATTGCAGAACGGATGCAACCTAGCGACAAGTATTGCCTGCGGCTCGCGTGTCGCCGATACGCCTTGCTCTTGCACGACGTGCAAAATGTTGACCTAGAGGTACACGAACGGGAGGTGTTGAAGGAAAGACTTGCGAGGGACGTTGAAAACGAGCGATATTTCAAGCTGGCCGAGGAAGAAAGACAAGCCGAGCTCCTCTGCTCGGCCTGTCACGCAACTCATCCGAAGCGGATGTTCACTGCAGCGGAAATGCTGCGATCCCCTCACATACGAAGATGCCATGGTGCAAATCTTGCTTTTCGTATCTGTTCTCACTATTATCTCACGTACGACCAGCTGAAATCACGCATGTCGGATTGGAGATTTGAACAAAGTTGGTATTGTTGCACTCGATTACAGAATCTTGCAGACGACACCTGGAGGGTTAGTGGTCACCCATCATGGACTATTATTGCCGGCACTGGCGACATGAGCATAATCGATATCCAACAGCACTTGAAGCAACTAGCTCAGCCCCTGTGTCCACATCTCCGCACGGATGGCATCTATGTCCAGCAAAGTCTACAGAAAAAGGACCGGCGACTTCAACAGATTCCGTACAAGGAGTCGAGACTCCCTGCGCACACGGTGTACACCAGTCTCATAAGATGCTTCGTAGAGAACTGCGAAACTACCCTTATGGTTTGTTCTCATGAGAGAATTATCTCGACATAGTAAGTCTCTCTGTGCGAACTGCATGTGAGGCCTACGCTGATTTCGTAAATCTACGTTTAGTCTTACCCGTAACCTTGGCAGTCTGTCGGTCCCATCCGATCCCCGGTGGTGCGCTCAACTCGAAGACCGAACAATCTAGACGAAGCACTGTAACCTAAGAAATTGCGGCTTTCAAGGTTGATGTCAATCAAAGGGCGCTACATGGTCATGGAATCGAGGATGGACCAGACGCGGCACGCGCCCCACATCTGTAGGGTTACACAAAACCAAGTGTGAGGTGACGCCAAGAGTCTCACGAAATACGATCACACCTGGCGACAACGAACTTCGACCTTCACCGGAGGTTCACCCTGTTGTACATAGCAGCACCAAAGCCATCGCCTGCTCGCTGCCCTGTCGATTCCCCGGGCTTGTTGGTCACCATCAATCTACTTTCAATACTCTGTAAACCCTCTGCGCTTCACAGACAGCTCATCGTCGGCCCGCTTGCGGTCATAAGCCGGCGACAGATTGCTAAACAGCGGCTCATCGCGCGAACAACCACAATTAGAACCTACTGATAGTCTCAACAAAAGTTCGCTTCTTTGCGGCGCACCGTCATGATTCCCAATCCTCTCATAGTACTGTCAAATCTGCTGAAGGATGGCATCAATCCCGGGGACGATCCCGATGGCTACGGTGAAGGGCTAACGATAAGCGAGCAATCGTCTGCAGGTCCGAGAGCGCCACAGGCCGCTTCACACCGGAGTAGATCCGAGATCGACCAATCACCTATATAAACAGCTATCTAACCACTTAGTCCTCGCGAGTAACACCCTAGTCTAGCATCAACAATGGGTAACCAACCCTCCGTTCCTCAGCCAGGCACAAAGTTCCAAGTAATCGGCGCTGGCCTCTCACGCACAGGAACTTCATCCTTCAGCGAAGCATTGCGCATCTTACTCAATGGGCCTGTCTACCACGGTGGTACGCAGGCTACTCTGGGCGCCGAGAAAGAGATCAAACCGTTGATCAGGATACTTGATCACTCACCACCGAAGTCGCCCTCCGAGAAACAGCTTGTCCACGATCTACTGAAGGAGCGCTTGGACGGCTATGCGGCAGCCAACGACATGCCATTCAACGGGCTGGTAGAAGAGCTAGTCGAAGTTTATCCAGATGCGCTGGTCATATGCACGACTCGGGATCCAGATGCGTGGGTGAAGAGCATAGGAACCATAACAAACGCAACGACAAAGTGGTTTCTACGTTTTGTCCTCTTTCCTCTCCCAGGAATGCGCCACTTTGTCGACTTTACCAACGGCCTAGGGAAGCAATGGGTCGAGTTGTATGGAAAGCATGACGGGGTCTCCACCCGAGACTATGAGGCGCACATCGCTTACTTGAAGAAGGTTGTGCCTGAGGAAAGACTGTTCTTTTTCGATGTCAGAGAGGGTTGGGAGCCGTTGTGTAAGGCGCTGGGGAAGGATGTCCCGAAGGATATTCCCTTCCCGAGAATCAACGACGGAGAAGCCATCGACAGATTAGCCAAGAAGATGATCAACAAGGGGTTGATGAGATGGCTAACTATCTCTGCTGTGGTGGGAGCAGCGATTGTTCCTTACTACTTGTTGAAGCGGTAGAAAGACTCGGTGTTCTGACGCTCTTGTCATTTTCACAGCATGTCTTTGGCCTATCTTCCACGTAGCAGGGTTGGCATGGTGAGCAGGAATTTCGACTATGCTAGACCCGAAGATCTTTCTAAATCTCATACAGGAAAGCTATCGTCCTTGTTGAAGGCTGAATGGTGCTGAGAGAGGGTCTGTCCGGGACGGATCTTCGTATAAACGCGCTGCGCGTCCGCCTGTAGGTTTACTGCGGATTGGTCTCCGTCAAGATTAGCCTACCTGCCACACGCGCAAATGATGCAATCTTCCTCCTACACCGGTGTACTAGTGCGCGCTGGGGCTTCGTGCATGGATGACTCGGCATACATACTAACTCGTAGCACGGGCGGCCTTGATTGCATGCGCGTCTGTGTCATGGATTGGTCTTCGGGAGATCTCCAACAGGGATGGCATTCCCGTCGCATTCATCCTGTCACCAACTCAGGTGAAAATACCACGATGGCGCAATGACAATCCGTTGCAGGGTCATTCAGCATGCGTCACTCAAAGTTCCGAAACGAATTATTGTGGCACCTACCTAGGTAGTGATGCAACTCTACCGAAAGCGTCAAAACGCCACGAGATGTTAGCTGCTCTTGGCGCGTCGGGTATTTTATGATATCAGATCGGCAGAATTCCTTGTGGCGCTCCCCTTCATCACACTCCACTGCGCCTCCAGGATTTGCTATGCTGCCTCTCCAACCTGCCGATATCAACCTCATACTCCCCACATATTGATCCACATCACAGTATCGGAATGTTTGGCGGTCATTCCTGCCGATGTCACAGATGACAACAACAGACGAAGAAGAACACTGACGCAACGCTGATGATGTATTCAAGATCTATTCGCCTTCGGGTACAGTGACCCTCAGCTGCTGATATGCTTCTATCTTGATTGGCTCGCCCGAAAGCTACACCTCCTGGTAGCATTCCATCATACACTACGGACTACCTAACGGCAAACTCAAACCTCTGACAACCAAACAATTTGCTCCAGCACGGTCCGAAAGGGTAATGTAGCTATGTACCTACACAAACATATAAGGCTCTCGCTTGACCGTCCGTAGCACCAAGTAAACGACAAACAAGTCGTAGCGAACAGTTCATCCATCCTCAAGTTCAAGTCAAAGCTATACATCAAGATATCAAGATGCTAGCAAAGCGCATTCTCCCAGTCGCTTTGCTTTCCGTCCTTGCGGTGTCTTCTCCAGTCGAACGAGACACCAAAGACTCTGCCCCTCTCCTGACTGCCATTTCAAACGACCCAGACCTTTCCGTCTTCTACAGCCTCATCAAGAGCACGGGTGGTAGCAGCGGCATTCCTGGTCCGCAATTTGAAGAGCGCTTCAACAATCTCACTGATGGACGCAAGTACACAACATTTGCACCCGTCAACTCGGTAAGCAATGATACCGAATGCTGCCTTGCCTTCTGGATTGCTGACCTGTACAGGCTTTCAAGAATTTACCCTAAGAACTAAGCACAGCTTTGACGGCATCGGCATCGTATCCACTACTCGAGTTTATCCTGCGAAGCCACATCGCACAAGGATCGATCACTACGGAAGATGTCAAGACTTCGGGTAAACCTGTCACAGCCATCGAAGGCACACCTCTTTCGTTCAGCTCGGCGGGAGAGACCGTCTCAGTCAACAAGCAAGCCAACCTAGTCTCCGATTCCAGAACCGAAGTCGGGAACGGAGCCATCTTCAAAATCACATCAGTCCTCGATTCCTTCGCTGGACTTTACGGGGCCGACGATTTCAACAACACTACATCTACCTCATCCCCACCATCTCAGAACGAAGGCACCATTGCATCAGCCCTAGCTACGCAAAAAGACCTATCGACATACGTAGAGCTCCTAAACGCGACATCTCCCGATTTCGTCTACCTTCTCGACGCATCTCTCGCCCAAGGCAAGAACCTCTCCATCTTCGCGCCCAGCAACGCCGCACTCGCGGCTCTGGGTCAAAGCGCAAAGGCTCTTCAGCCAAGCAACAACGCGCTGTCTTCTTACTTGCTCAAGTACCCTTGCATCGACACGACATCGACCGGCCAGGAGAAGTCCATCGTTGGATTCCCCGCGACCGTCCGAAGGGACAGCAAAGGCACTATCACGAGCGTCAACAACGCTGCTGTTAAAGGCGAAGCTTACTGCGTCCCTGGCGCATGCATTTACACCGTCGACAAGTGGTTGGACCCCCTCTTCGGTGCTCTCAGCTCCGGAAACTCTTCGTCGGCGTCATCTTCAGGAGGGCCGGGTATTGTTGAACACAGCGGTAGCAGCTCTTTCACGCATTGCTGCTAGTCGTTTTATGCTATTATGATGTATGAATAGAGCAAGCTTTGGGATTATTTCCTTTCTCAACGGATATGGGCAGGTTTGTGGGGATTCAACTCTCTGCGGTTCTATCTATATAGATTGTAGTATATAAGCGTTCTAGGTATACAGAAATCGACATCTTTCATGTGTGTCATCATACCTGTATCAATTGTAACGTCGCTTCCCCCCACCCTTTCAGCATGTAAGCCATCCTCGCTCTTCGGGCCATATCGTTCGGAACGCTACCTCCCGAGTACGAGGTCTGGAGAGTTTGGCGAGCAACACGGACGTCCGCTCATCTCGACGGGAGTCAACTGCCGTCGTTTCCACGTTTTCCAGCTTCGTCGTCGTCACCTTGGTACTTGTACGGTAGAATCAGTCGGTCGAAACTACCCTTAATATAATTGTAACTGACCTCAAACACGTTCATGTAGTGTATTGACAGCCGTTCATTAATAATGATATTAGTAAAAACTGCCGGAGTCCACTCGGGGGCTTTTATCTCGCTGCAAGAGAAGAAGAAGAAGAATTATGCCCCGGTGTCATCGCTTCATTGGAGATACCTTATGGTCCCCAGGTAGTTCTGATATTTCGCACACTTCACTAGATCTTCTCGCACTGCTTCAACCCCCATCGTGCAGCTACATGATTGCCTGCAGTCTTCTTGTTAGCATAGTTCAACTTTCAGGAGGTATCTGTACGAGACACGTGAAAGTGTACTTTCGTACATGGCAGCATCGACGCGTGGCACAATTTTAAATTTGTACCTCGTCGGCACCAGATAGATTATACCAAGACCGAACACACACAAAAGCAATCAAGTCAAGACCTGGACACAAGATGCATATTCGCAGTTAAAAGATCAACGTCTGAAACGCCGAACAAAGTCGATTGCACAGTTACTATCAAGTGTATGGGTTATACACTATGTATGCGAGCCTAACAAAAAAGACAAATGCTGCAAAAAAAGAAAATGCTCGTAAGCCAGATAAACCCATACATCAGGCATATCCATGCCGTGTGAATATCCGTATAAAACGCCAGTGAGATGTGAATATTGCCACCTCGTTCAATCCCAAACGCCAATCCCATCGCATGGGAAGTCATAGATACAAACCCTCAGTCATCCTTGACACTGGCACTAGCATACCCATCATCCACGTCGGCGTCATCCTTCTTCTTGCTCTCGGCCAGTCCAACTAGCATCTTGCTCGCGTCGAGACAACTGCTTATGATCCTGCTTCGAACCTTGTTGTTCAACCCACTTCTCCTGCCTGTCTCGTGACCGATCCACATGCGCAGGGAACTTGCAGTCCTCTCTAGACCACAGCTAGTTTCCTTCTTCAGCGTATCGTCTGCCATGAACTGCGTAAGAACCTTGTGAGCGGCAACGAAGCTGAGCAGTGTGGTTGTGCATTCGGGGAGGTAGGTGTTGTTGATGACAAAAATAGCGCGGCGGCGGGCTTCGGGATTCGAGGAAGCGGCCAGCGATAGGCATTTGGCCAAGGTGAGACCTTTCCGCACATCCACTGCAACAAAGCCGTTACCGACGACATTGATAAAGCCGGCATCGGCAGGCTTGGGTGACGATGGAAGGGCTTCGAGTGCTGCTGCGATGCGAGTGTTTCGGTCTTCGTCGAGTACAACAGCTTGAGCAACTAGCGCACGTAGCTGAGCCTGTGAGTTCGGTGGGGCAGCGCGGAGAGCGAGTGCTAGATCAGAGACGATATTGTCCTTGGTTGAGCTGTTCTTTGCACCAAGTGTGGCTGCGAGTCCCTTGTTCAGAACAAGGCTAGAGTACCAGGCCGCAAGCGCATCCAATGGAGAGCAGATGGCAAAGTCCTCGACAACAGCGTCCATGGAGGTGTCTACAGTTGTCTGTTCTGCGCTTGGCCTGTTCCAAGCCAGGTTGTATGCGCGCTGCACAACTGCAGGAACAAGTACCTCATCGCATTCCCTCTCGATAAGTGCTGCCAGATGTTCTGGCAGTGGCACAGCTCCATTGTTCTGCTTCGACGTGTTGATGGCGATGCGGTGCTCGCTCCGTGCCGTGTTCCAGTAGCTTCGGGCCAGTTTCGCACTCAGCTCGTTGAGCATCCACCACGAGCCATGACCCGCGTTCCCAAGCTCCCAAAGCACAATCCGAATATGCATGGCCTTGAGCATGAGTCTCGCGGGCGTATCGGGCAAGGTACCGGAAGCGATCAAAGTAAGCACCAGACGGCTCGTGCTGATCTCAGCGTCACCGCCCGTGAGCTGAGCGTCCAATGCGATCTCCCAAGCTTTGACACGAGCGGCTTCTTGTTCCTTGGTAATACCGGTAAGATAGGCGTATCCTTCCCATCCAATGAGCCTTCGCATGCTGAGCTTGAGGGTCTTGAGGCCCAGAGCAGCGAGCTCGAGGATGAAGTTGTGTTGAGGTACCCAGACTGTTTGGATTGCAGTGAGCCATGCCTTTCGACGTACTTCGACCGGTGAAGCTAGTGACGGTGCGGGTGTCAAAAGAACTGCGGGCGGCGACTTCCTCTTCGGTTTCGATTTGAAGTCGAGCAGCGGCGCAACGAGGTAGAAGAAGGCGGCGAATACCAAGAGAAGCTTGGCTAGAGGGATCTGAGCTGTGGAGACACCTAGGGAGACGCGAGGAGCAAGGATGCCGACCAGATTGACGGGCAGGGCGAATAGACCACGTCCGGCTGGCTCTTCTTGTAACTGCTCGCGCTCTGCAAGTCCTTCCAATATCATGAGACCAGCGAGAGATCCGACCATGAGCTTGCCCATCATAGCACCGTTGCGTCGTCCATTGACCATAGGCGCGCCCACTGCTGGGCGACCGCCATAGCCTGGAGGGTATGCATGTGCATAGTGCTGTTGCGGCGGGATGCCGCGCTGGAGGGCGCTGATGTTTTCTGGGACAGGTATCATTCCTTGTGGTGGTCCTGACATAGGCATACTGTGTGTCGGCGTGAAAGGATCTTTGTGGAATCTTGAGCCATCTGGTGTGCTGACAGTGCCGTGCAGTGTTATGGGACCTGATATGGCCATCTTCTCGTAGCTCTCGACCCTGCCCTTCATGGTGTTGAGCTCATCTTGTAGACGCTTGTTACGCTTTTCGAGGTGTCGGATGTACTCAGTGGCTTTGGAAAGGACGGTTGCTTTGTTGAGCTTGTGTGCGGGCGTGAGACCTTCAAGGTCCTCGGGGTCGTCGTCTTCTTCCGTACCGTTTGGCCGCGACATCACGCGAAGACTTGGGACACCTGCAATGCCAATCAGCTAGTGTCGATTGCGCATGGGAAAATGACTTACTATCGCGAAGAGCAGCAATCTTGTCGTTGAGGTTCGTCCGATAGCGCTTCTCAATCATGTTGTGGGCGGTCTTCTTGGGCGGGCCTCCCTTCTTGCTTGATGGGGCATCGTCGTCGAGCTCCTCCGAGTCGGCCAATGACTTTCTCTTGCGTGCATTGTTCGTCGCAGGCTCTGGTGATGAATGCGACGAGGTCGAGCTGGCGCGTCCGTTGGTCAGCGAGGTGGGACTGTGGTGGAGGCTGGGCGTGGAGGCGGGCGGTGCGACAAAGCCAGTTTGGTCGAACTGCGTGGGGGAGAAGAGAGTACTTTCAGCCAGCTGTTGCTGTTGCTGTTGCCATTGCTGGGACGTGTAGTAGGCGTGCTGCTGCTGCATCTCAGCCGTCAGTGGAGAGCTGAGGTCAGCGCTGTTGAAGTCAAAGGCCGGCGGCATGTCAGCGCCCTGGCCAAAGGTGAAGGGCACGCCATGCGATTGCGCGAACATGGGGGCGGTAGTCGGCACGGTGTTGGATTGCAGCGATTGGGATTGTTGGTGAGGAAGGAGATGGGGCGGAGAAGTTTGCTGATCCGGGCTGAGATATGCGGCAGGCCCCTGCGGATTCGCGGGCTTGGGGTCGACGTTCTGGGAGTTCTGAGACGCTTGGGCGGGATCGTACTGCATCCATTCGTTCCAGTTGGTCATGTCGTCAGCGGGCGCGGTGAGGGGCATGTCGTCGCCGGCGGTGGTGAGCCACGGTCCGCGCATGTTGGCGAAGGGGAAGTCGCTCGAGAGCATGGGATCCTCCATCTGGGGCGTGGGTCGCTTGGCCTCGGGAGCCGACGGGTGGATGGGCGGGGGACTTGGAGGCAGGCGGAAGTCGTCAAACACACAGTAGGGGCCGACCTGGATGGTGCAAGGCCATGTTAGCAGAGACTCGAGACATGCAAAAGTGCAAAAGCATTGCGTCACGCACGGCGATTCGCTCCAGCTCCAGCCCATCGTCGGGGTTGCCGTACGGGTCAGAAGCCATTAGGACGGCGTCGGGCTGCTAGCTGCGACAGGAGCGACGGCGACGACTGCAGCGACGGCGACAGACGGCGAACAAGAGGGACAGTATAGTGTATACAGAGTACGGGTCTGGTAGAGAAAGAAAGGGCTCCGCCTTAGGCTTACCAGCTACTACATGCACATGGAAATCATGCCACTCCTTCGCAGGCTCACGACGCGACCGCGGGCGGCAGATCGGACGGGCTGGCTCTGCCTCAGTGTGCGCCGGGATTTGCTGCACTACCGTGAAAGCGAATGGCCTGCAGGAAGCGTGCGACGGGGCCGGGGCTGTGATTGTTTGCGCGTGTCGATGGGTGTTGGGGTGGTTCGACAAGTCGTATGATCTTGCTCGAGTCGACGGGGGCTAGCCGCAAGCCTCACCGAACAGGCAAGGTCTGGAGATCGCGGTACTGTCTTCCGTGCAACCACGCGCTGCCTGGGTCGTGTTGCGTCGCTCGCCGATTATCGTGTGCGCCAGAAGGGGACTCGGAATGCTCGCGAAGAGTACTTTTGTGTGAGTGAGGTTTGCAGCTCAGGCTCAATCGTGGACCGTCGTGAGGCGGGTTGGGTTGCGCAACCACGAACCCCTGTCCCAGCTGCATGACTCCTGCTGCACCTCATCTAAGTTTCCGCCCTCGCTAATTGCCTCTTGCATCTC